GCCCGCGACATGTCCCGCAAGGTAGGTGGGAGCAGGAACGCCCCAGGAGCAGTGTGGGGGCCCCATACAGCTGAGGGGTCCCGTCGGGGCCCAAATGAACCCTTTGGGGTAAAAAAAAAGAGGGAGCAGCTGTGTCTGGTCCCGCTGGGAGGGCTCCAACAGATGGAGCTCAGGACCCCTTGACTGGGTGTGGCAGCAGGATTTGGGCCTATCGTTGTGGTTGGGATCAGGATTGGGTCCGTTGCTGGGGTGGGCAGAGCAGTCCCTGCTGCAGGGTGCTGCCCGGGGGCTGGGCTGGGTGGGGCTGACCCCTCGCCTCGGCCCAGAAGCCTCCCTGGACCGAGCATAAGGCCCCCGATGGGCGCACCTACTACTACAACTGCGACTCCAAGCAGTCCACCTGGGAGAAGCCGGACGAGCTCAAGTCCAAAGCAGAGGTAGGGGCCGCGGGGAGCAGGGCCCGGGGGGCAGCCCCGCATCTCCCTGCAGAGCAGGTCCCCAGCTCATGCCTGCTCCTGCAGCTGCTGCTGTCCCAGTGTCCCTGGCGCGAGTACAAGTCGGACACAGGCAAGTCCTATTACTACAACGCCCAGAGCAAGGAGTCGCGCTGGACCAAGCCCCGGGACCTGGATGAGCTGGAGGGTATGGGGCCGTGCTGGGGGGGAGCTGGGCTCTCGCGCATGGGGGCAGCCGTGGGCATCAGCGTAACAGGTGGCATCTTGTTTTGCAGCCTTGATCAAAGAGGAGGAGGAGGCCGGGTGAGTGGCTGATGCGGGGGGGCAGGGGAGGGCGCCACGGAGCAGGGGTGTGAGCTCAGGGGCTGCTGGAGCGACTGCCCCATCACCTCGGTGCCCACATCCCCCCACTCTAGGAGGCAGCAGGAGACGCCATCTGCCGCCTCCAGCCCGTCCCTGTCCTCAGCTGCCACCACGGACACGGAGGCCACAGCTGCAGATGAGCAGGAGCCGCTGGCACTAGGGGCCATGGCCGAAACCCCAGAGGAGGTCATGCCGCTGCAGGAGGAGGTGGCTGGCAGGGGGGGGGGGACGGGGGCCTGGGGGGAGGCATGGGGTCATGGAGGAGCCTGAGCCCCTGCCACGGGGCTACTGGCAGCTGGGGCAGCCCCAGTTGCCCCGCATCCAGCCCTTCCCTGGGGGCAATTCCAGCCTGGGTCCCACCTGCCCTGGGGACCAGGGTGGCTTCTTCCCTCCAGCTCCACCGAGCCTGGGGGCTGCCCTGGCCCCCACAGCCCTGCACCCAACACCGCGTTCTTTTCCTGGCCAGTGCCGACCCCAGCCGGCGGGAGGAGGATGAGCGTGGGGACGTGATGCCGAGTGCCGGCAGCTGGAGCACCAAGGAGGAAGCCAAGCAGGCGTTCAAGGACCTGCTGAAGGACAAGGTACCCGGAGCCATGGGGGGCAATGGCCGTGGGGGACTGTGGCCGTGGGGGCTGGTGCCACTGACCCGTGCCTCTATTGCAGGGCGTCGCTTCCAATGCATCGTGGGAGCAGGCCATGAAGATGATCATCAATGACCTGCGGTACAGGTAGGTGCCAGCCCAGCCCCCGCGTGCCAGCCCTGGCCCCTGATCTGGAGCTCAGCACCCCCAGTGGGGGGATGCCGGGCACTGCCCCCCCCCTGCGGCCGGTGCCCCCTGCTGGGCCAGGTTGGGGCTGGCGGAGCCCGGTGCCGCTCCCCCCAGCAGCCAGCGCCCCTGCCCTGTTCTCTGCAGCGTCTCCTCTCTCTGCCCGTTGCTGGAGCTGGCTGGCCCCGGCCCGTCGGCGCCAGCCCCTTTCCGGAGGCTGGCGATGGGGCCGCTCCTCCAGCCCGCCCGTCTGCTCTGTGCCCAGCGCCCTGCCCAAGCTGAGCGAGAAGAAGCAGGCCTTCAACGCCTACAAGGCCCAACGCGAGAAGGAGGAGAAGGAGGAGGCGCGGCTCCGGGCCAAGGAGGCCCGGGAGGAACTGCAGCGGTTCCTGGAGCAGCATGAGCGCATGAGCTCCACCACCCGCTACAGGTGGGGGGCAGCGCGGCTCGGGTGCTGCGTCCCCCTCTGGGGCCAGGGTTTGTGGGGGCCATGCTGGAGCAAGGGGTGTCATGGCCTGCATGCAGCCCAGGGCTGGGGGGGCTCGGGTGGCTCTGAGGGGCTGATGCATGGCTCGGGCTGGGTGGGGAGTGTCCCAGAAGATAGGGGCTGCTGTGGTGCATCTGTTGGCCTCCCCCACGTGCGTGGGCCGGGGGGCCAGCACAGAGCCGTGCCCCTCCTGCATTGACCAGACACGGGCCGGGAAGCGCTGCTGTGCCCCACAGCTGTGCCCGGAGGAGCCGGTGCCGTAACCCTCCCGGTCCGTGTGTCCCCCCCCGCCCCCAGGAAAGCTGAGCAGATGTTTGGGGAGCTGGAGGTCTGGGCTGTGGTCCCAGAGCGTGACCGCAAGGAGATCTACGATGATGTCCTCTTCTTCCTGGCCAAGAAGGAGAAGGTAGGGGTGGGACCTGTGCAGCCCTGGCTGCAGGTGGGAGCCGCTTGGGCCAGGAGAGCAGGGCTCCTTGTTGCTGGGTGCGTTGTGCTGGGGGCGGTGCTGCTGGCAGCTCATGCATGGCCTGGAGGATCTGTGACAAGTATCAGGCAGCACGAGTCCTCATCGGGCACAACCATGGGCTCCAGGGCCACAGAGCAGCAATGGTGCCCTGTACCAGGTGGCAGAGGGGGCTTGAGCGCCCAGCGCCAGGCTGCAGCATAGGAGCTACTCTGGGGTTCAGAGCTGTGAGGCCGGAAGCATTGAGTGGTCGCCGGGGGCTGGGCTGGGGGCTGCGATGCAGAGCAGTGTCGGTGAGCCGCAACACAGCTGGAACACGCTGGGGACTCAGCCTGGGGCCTGGGCCTCCCCCTGCCACCCTGACAAGGCAGCAGGGTCCTGGTTGAGCAGGCTGGCACCACCTGCCCCTCACGTGGTCCCTTTCCATGTAACGAGGAAACATTTTGCTGCTGTGGGCATCTGCTCCACACCTGGCATGTATACATGTTTCTAGGGCATCCGGCGTGGTGCAGGGGTCTCGTCCCAGCCCTCTTGGGGGTTGGACCCACAACTCCTGGTGCTAATGCAGCTCGGTGGGGGGGGCAGACCTGGGACTCACGGCCTGGGCTGGAGAGTGGCCCCAACTGGGCCGGTGGTGGATGGAGAGGAGCTGGGTAGGGCCCATAGCATGCCGGGCAGGGTGCCCATGCGCGAGGGCGTCTCATGCGCCCTGTCTCCTGCGCAGGAACACACCAAGCAGCTGCGCAAGCGCAACATCCAGGCACTGAAGAACATCCTGGATAGCATGAGCAACGTCAGCTTCCAGACCACCTGGTCCGAGGCCCAGCAGTACCTGATGGACAATCCCACCTTCGCAGAGGACGAGGACTTGCAGAGTGAGGGCAGCCCCAGCCCGGCCCGTGCCCCCACTGCGGGGGTGCTGCCATGCCACACCACGCTGTGCGTGCCCCTTTCTGCGCCTGCAGCCAGGGGACAAAACCCAGGCGTCCTGGCTTAACCCGTCAGGCCCCTGTGCCTCTCCCAGAGCTGGGAGACAATCTTTGCCTTGTAGCTCCCCCCTCCTCCC